GAGTTGGGGAGTGTACCGGCTGGCAACAGAGATGAACCTTAGAACCAAAGTGAGCAGACCTCGTGCGGCAAGATCGGAAGAGTCGGGAGTTTGTTTAGAGTCACGGACCAGTGCTTGCTTTCGCTGTAAATACATTCTACATACTGATTCTATTATTTGGTTCTATGAAACCCTGAAAACACACGCTCCTTGAAAGCGCAACAAAAAACAAAATAATAAAGTAGTTCAAGTTGAACTACAATTGCGCCTAATAACCGTGTAGTCGTTTGTAAAATTGTGGCTGTTGAACACAATACCTTAATTATTTTATATAATTTATTGTTATCCAAAATAAATATGCCTCCCAATGTAATACACAAGTGACAAAACCATGTTGTCCTCAGCAATACTAACCATGTTATGTTCAAACATTATCATACTTTCTTTGCAATCCTTACTGCTAATAATTTTTACAACCACGACACCAAAGGCTTGGCCAACAAGAGAATTGGCTACTTTGTCTACCGATTCATCTGTATTTGCAAACAATTTAAAGAATAATGAGCAATCGGGATACCTATCCACACATTTGGCTGTCTTTCTCTTTGAAAAACTGCAAGGTTTTATCGTAATTGACAGACATTATAAATGTATATGTTGCTGATGGTCGGAAGAATAAATACTGCTCTGAGATGAGGTGAATGCTTGTGGCCGCACTGGCTCTTTTTATACCATGGATCGAGCATTAAACCTGGCTACAGACAGCTGAATCACAGACAATTTTATCCAAAGTGCATACACTCCCATTTATTTCAATGCATAGTGACTAAGGCTGTCAGCTTCCCCAAAAAATTATGCAAAAAAAAAGCTGCTTCAGATCGGATTCGAACCGATGATCTTCTGTTTACAAGACAGACGCATTAGCCACTTTGCCACAAAAGCCCTTCCAAGCTAATTCCGTGGAATTTGAGTGTATGCAGTTGCAACCAAATAAAAGCAAGATTGCTGCCGCTATGAATAGGGCGTTTTTCTTCTTTTTTTCTTCTTTTTTCTTCTCTATTTACTTGGATAATAGCATTTTTGTGCAATATTGGAGGCTGCTGGTTTTATTGTAATTTGCTCTCACACGCTGCGTGCATCAGTGTCATCCCTGTTGTCTGCAGGCATGTCGATAAGCACAAACTGCGCACGGTCATATCCGATATTCTTGATAGAGATGGCGGCACTCGGCGCAACTTGCATCAAATGTATGCCGTCGCCGCAGCTGAGCTGAATGGCACCGGGCAGCATGAGGCGAGCTCCGCCCTGCCTCGCAGCGCCTGCCTTTGAGTAGTCACTAAAGACATGCACATAGACGCTGCGCAATCTCCCCTTGTGCCTGTTGCTTCGTGTGTGGGCTGGCCCGTGGTTGGTGGAAAGCGTGGTGGCTGTTCGCCGGACCTGTGGGATTTTGAAAACAGGCGGCTCGTTGGCGCACCTTTCTGCAGCGGCAGCCGTGTGGCTCACAGTAGCACAGGGTGCCAGGCGGCATATGTATACGTAGACGTCGCTGTCGAGCTCAAACACATGTGAGGAGACGGTGATGGGCGGCAGCAGGGTGAGCGTGTGCGAGTTGGGGTTGATGAGCTCAGAAAAGTTTGGCTTGGGCACGGCAACGGGGCACATTTTGTTCAGGCGGACGCTGGGCGGGATGTGCAGGAACTGGATCCAGGGGCCAGCCACAGGCAGACTACTTTTAATCCAGAGTTCGGCGCCCGTGCACGCAATGCCACCCTTGCCTATGCAACAGGCACGACGGACACCAGTGCCGGAGTACAAACACTGCACGTAGTGTTTTTCCAGTGGCAGCGACGTGGCAGTGTCGCCGCAGTAGGTGGTGCCGTCCAGGCTCCCTGTGTTGACCATGGTCAGGATGTAGATGCCGCAGACCTTGTCTCGAGACATGGAGCCCGTCTTGGAAAACCAGGCTTCATAGACGTTCTTCAGGCGGCCAAGGCCCTCGTCCTCCAGAGGAAGCAGCGTTTCGGATGGAAAGGACTTGTAGACGTGTACGGAGTCTGTGGTTATGTATTGGCGCGACTCGCTCGTGTAAGCATCGTAGCTGGCGTAGGGCAGAGGCGGCTCGAATATCGAGTGGGTTGGAGTAGCGGCGGCTTCGTGCGCAGTTGGAACAGGAGAGGCCTTTGTCATTGCTCGGCGAAATAGCGAGTACAGGCGGTCTTTAGCTCGGCCCATGGTCATAGCGAGAAAACAACAGTAGTAATAATACAGGATTTTGAAGAGCAAGGGAGATGACAAAGGCAGGCCTGGATCAAAAAGGGGGTGCCAGTGTCATGCGCCCTTGTCTGTTTTATTTTTTTTACTTCTTTTTTATTCAACAAACACTAGGGAGCAGTTATAGAGGTGGGGCATTGCCGCTGACAAAAACTTGGGCGTGAGGGAGCTCTGGGAGCGGCGGCTCCTCGGAGTCCTGGTGGGCGCCATGCTTGGTCAAGCGCTTGGGGTTCAGCTTGCGGCAGGCAGACTTTAGCTTTGACGACAGGTCGCGGACGGAGGACTGGTGGTGCTCAGCAGCAGTGGTGGTGATGCGATATGATTTGGGGCGTGGCAGCGTGGCAGTTCTGCGGCCACCGCCACTAGCAGCAGTGGAGGGGGATGGCGTGCGGTAGTAGCTGATAAAGCGCGTGGTTTGGTTGCGCTTGCCCAGATGAGGAGCTCTGGTGCCTTCTTCTACTACTTCCTCTTCTTCGGGGATGGCGTAGTTTTTGTGGATTACGGACTGCTGGCTCTGGCGGTTGGAGACTCTGGCGGACTGGTGATGTGAGGATGACGGTGTGCGGCGATGATAGTGCGGTTGTGGTTGCTGTCCCATCGGAAGCAACGGTGATGCGCATCTACTCGGATATGACTCTGCGATAGAGACATCCTGCAGATGACTGTGCGCGCTGGGGCTAGGGCTGTGGCTGATAAACGACGTGCTCATTAAAAAGATAAGAAAAATAGTAGTGATAAGAGAGAGAAGAAAAACGGGGGAAGAGGGAGCGAGGGTTAATATACTTTTTTTTTTTTTTTTTTTTTTCAAGCCACCAAACATTGGACGTGCGCGGGCGGACTTTTTTATTTTGGAGATCAGCGCTGGAAAGAATTTGTTGTTGTTGTTGTTGAAATGGCCAGTTCGGCGAGCGGGTCGTTGGACACTGGGTCGTCAGAACTCCACGGGCCGTAAAGGGACATGTTTCGGATTTTGCGAGCGCACAATGTAAAGTAGTCGACTGGCATCCAGTGGCGCTGAGACAATCGCAAGGCAGTCATGACGACCTCCAGGCGGTCCTGCATATGACGGATATCAGCCAGCGTGCGAAGTTCGGGCGGTGGCGACAGGTCATTGGCAAACTCGGCGTCATTGTCGGCATCGTCATTGTCGACAGGGGGATAGGCAGAAAAGTCGGGCAGAGCGCAGGGCCGTGTGTCTGGGTGGTGGTGGTGGTGGTCGCCATCAATGGACACAGACTCGCTGGGCAGCAGCGCAGATGCAGTGGAGCTGCAGCTGTTGCGGCGGGCCAGCACGTAGGCAGACATTTTCGCGTGGTGCAAGTACATGATCAGGGTCTTTGCAGCGACAAAGATGTAGTAGGAGGTGCCAGGGAGTTGGCGACGGAACGGGTCCATGTAGTCGGCAGAGTCGTCAACGGCAAAGTCGGGCGGGGCCGAGTTGGCGCTAGACTTGTCGGGGCCGGGTTTGGCGGCATTGGCGTTGGTCTCGATATGGATGTTGGCGTTCATGCTGCAGGCCAGCGACAGCTCGGCGCCAGCGTCACTGGGACAGTACTTGGCGGCGGATCGCACTATCTGGTCGAGTAGGCGGCGGTTGGCGATGAGCAGCGGGTGGGGAGGGGTTTTGTGGGAGAAGAAGACGGTTGCATCGGCGGTCTGCTCCGGGCGGCGCTGGCCAGACTCTGGGTCCGGTGGGAAGCGGCGGAGGTTGGCGTCGGCGTTGAGCTTGGCGCCGATAGCAGCGCGAGCGTGCCAGTCAGGACGCACTAGCAGGCGCAGGCGCGAGTCAGCGGGCGCAGCGACCAGCCAGTGCGACTGCAGAAGATCGGCGACCTCGCAGGCCTGGCGCACGGCCACGGCCCAGGACTCGCGGGCCAGGCGGCGCAGGGCACGCATGCAGGCGTTGGGCGGCTGGTTGGGGCGCACCAGCGGCGATGCCAGGTGGCGGGCGCGGCGCTCCAGGCAGGCGTGTAGCTGCAGCAGCACGGCGCGATTCTGAGCCAGCAGTGTGGCCAGCAGCAGGCGATGGTTGGCGTATTCGACGCGCTCAGCACGGATGGCGGCGTCAGCGGCTGGCGATGCGCCCGACCCATCCTCGTGGTCGCGCAACGGAAACATGGACTCGAGGTACACGCGCCACTGCGCCAACTTGTCGTCGATTTCGGAGACGGCGGCGCGGGCGCGGCGCAGGCGGTCGTCCCAAGGGAGAGGGGGAGAGGCGGGCCCTGATGTAGATGGTCCCGATGGTCCCGATGGTCCTGATCCTTCCATCAACTGGCTCGGCCACCTGCTCGGGAAAAACAGGCGGAACAGCGCCAGGCGCGTGCGGGCCAGCTGGCCAACAATAACGGCGGTGTGGGCGCGCAGGTGCATGCGATTCTTGCGACGCCGCACGCGCACCAGCATAGACGCGACGCGGTTGGGCGTAGCACCGGCGTCGATACGCAGGCTGCCGCCAGAGTCAACATAGTAGCGGCCCATGTGCAGCAGCAGTCGCTCGTGCTCAGCAGCTCGGCGTGGAGACGAAGAGTCCCATAGGGAATCGCTGCACGGCATGTGCACCCACCCGGCGTCCAGAGTCACCAGCGGCGGCGACCCGCCAGCCAATGTATGGGTACGCTCAGCGTCAAACAACGCCCACCTCAGTCGACGCTGCTGCTCGCGCTCGATCCAATCACTGCTGCTCAGCGCCGGCCGTCGTATGGCTGCCGCGCAGTGCGCCGGGCTCTGGCGGCATGTGAGCGGCGAAACGGCAGACTCATGCAGCCCCAGGTGTGATGTGAAGGCCGGTAGCTGATACGCCTCATCCAGCGCGTGTAATTGCTGCTGGCTGAACATGCGCGCTGCTGTGCCCCAGTACGAGCTGCCACCCACCCAGTCGCCTATGCCAAACAGGAACACTGCCACCAAGTACGCCGCCTGCATCACTGCCAGCGACGCTGACGTGCTGTGCGCCAACTCAGCTCGCGCCTGGTCGGCAAACTGCCGCCCGTACTCAAACGCTCGCTCACCTGCGCGTGCCGGCCCATACCGCGCCGCAATCGCCCGAACCGCCAGCCAGAGTACGCGGCTGGCCGTACCACTGCGAACTGCGCGCTCGAACGTCGGCCGGTGCAGGATCGGCTGCTGCGGATGAAAGTACGAAAAATACCACTCCAGGTACTGCGAGTCGCTGACTATGTCCGCCTCGCCTGACACCACCGCATCCTCGCTATCAGGCATCGCAATCTGCCGCTGTGACAACGCATCCAGCCCGTTCCCGCTGGACGACGACTCGTCGTCGCTATCGCTCATTGCTGCAGCTTCTGCCGCCGCCGCCGCCGCTGCTGCTGCCTCGGCTAGTGATGCAATGCTCGAACTGCCGCCCTGCGACTCACTCCCCGCCTGTCGCTTCCGCCGCTTACGTGCTCCGCCCGCCGCCGCCGCCGCTGCTGCTGCTGGCTCATAGGCACACTCAAATCCCTTGGTTTGGCAGAATGTGCACGTTGGCCGAGCTCCGTCGCACTTGACTTTGCGTCGCCGACACATGCGGCAAGCCTGATCGATGCGCCCCGTTGCCACGCTTGTGCTCGGCGAAAACCCAGCATCGTCTGCTCCCAGAGCCATGCCCATGTCGTCTGCTACAATCTGCGTACCCTGGTACACCCCGTCGATCTGCTGGATTCCAC